TTTCACCGGTAGGTTCACCCGCTCTTATCTATGGAATTTTAGGGTACTAGGGTTTTTTTGTTCCCTTATGCTTATAGGTGAATGAATTTTGCTTACCGTAGTCTGTTATTCGCACCAGTACGTACGCAGTGGGACACATTGTATAGCTCGTCCAAACGCCCCACTCTTCTTTTTTTCTGGTCTCATTCTCGTCCAGCCTCTTTTTATCGGTTTCGAAGCCTTTTTTCACTTTGGAAACACCGGTTCACACAGCTTATCCACCTTCACCACACTATTTTCGATCTTGTCTTCCATTTTTCATGATGATCTGGATTACCCGGAATTTCGTGAACTGCGTTTTTAACTCAATAGTTCACAACTTAATTCAGAAAGGTGCTGGAGTGTGGGAGAAAGGTGGTTACAAGGTAAAAAGAGAAATATGGTTGAATTCCCGAAGAGGACGGGTTTGCGCTTAAGTGGGCGGGTCTAAAATCGAAGGCACATAACTCTATTAAGGAATGTGCTAGGATGAGGGATTTATCAAGAAGGTGATCTCCATTGATCAGTGATCGTGCGGGAAAACTGTGCGTGCATACCGACGCCCCGTGCTCAAGCTTCACTGACAGATTCGGCGACCGCGGATTGAGCATCACCGGATAGCGCATCCTTTCTCTTATTCTTGGTTCATCTTACTCGCTTACTTCTTTGTTCATCTCACTTCAACATTGCGCATTGTACGAAGTTTTGTGTTTGTGCATTCTAAACTTTGTTATTGGTTGACTTCATATTTTCATTGATTCACTCCTTCTCCACTGAAGAAGTCATTTGTTATTTGTTCTTGCGCAATATTATTCTGATATTTGTTCACATTTGTTTACTCTCAAGTCTTCCATGAAGTTCTCGTATTTCCTTTACCGGTATTTGTTCGCACTTCGTACGGTTCAGCTATACTGGTGCTCTTTTTGGTACCTCTACGTGCTCACTAACACTCTCGTTTCGTTACGTCACTTAACCGTTCAGTAAAGTTAAATAAACGATTCTGTAGATGAGTTTTACTTTGCGAAAGGATGTTCGAGACAACGTCGTGTTGAAGACGAGACACATTTAAATCATTCAATACAAGAGAAGAAATTATGTTCTGCTATTGATGTTATTCAATCTAACACTGTTCTTAGCTCATTCA